CCAGCAGGGAACTAATCACAGTGTTTATCACCCAATTAAGAAAACAACAGAGGGACATTACCAGCTACTAGTTGGTTCTGCCTGTTGATTCTACCTGTTGATTCAACAGGGACTGTAGCCAGCATGTGGTCTGCTAGCTAATACACAGACACCTCCTCAGCAAGGCAGAGGGGAAGGGGGAATTTCTCCTTAGCAAGGAGTTGAGGGGAGCGCGCAAGCAGCCCACAGTCTCTGGAGCTGCAACCAAAGAACAGAGGGGAGGGCCAGCCCTGCAGTGCAGCAGAGAGCCCTGCCCAACCTAGAGAGCATGCCGGGATGATGGGGGTGTCCGGTTTGTCTTAAACTAGCAAGAGGCCTGAGACCGACATTGTATAAAACAATTTGAGCCAAATCAGTTAAGTCTGATAATACATTCAACCAGGTTTATCTCAGACTGGTTCCAGCCATTCTCAAACTGGTTTATGTGCATCAAACTTCTGTACTGTTACAAGTTTAAACCAGTTTCTGTTCATTTAAACCCGCTTATGTGTAATGTCTGTCCCTAGCCTAAAAGTAAGGACTTGTCTTAAATCATAAATATGTTGTAACTAATTTTCTTAATTAAGTTAAAATTATGTACCACATCTAGTTTTTGATAACAGTTTTGGTTTGCCTTTCAATTTATAACTTGAAATCCAAGGTGTCTATTATACATTCTATGCAGAGCACAATTACAGTAAACTAATGTTTATATATTGTTAAGGGGGTTTTCACACTGACAGGAGTCACATAGTCTCCTGGCTGGAATAGTAGTGTCTCATTATTATAGACATCCTGCCACGCCTTTGATGTTATGGGAGATTCGCTAAACACTACTGGGAAACAAACTGAGAATGTTTATGAACTCAAAATGTTAGTGGCTCTTCGCAGGGCTCCACCTTTCCCATAACCTGCCTTCACCACACCTGATGTTCCAGGTGCTGTTAATTGCCTCTAAGGTCCATCACTATCTTTGCTTGTAGGACCTCGACTATGGCCCTTGTCTAAATGGCTGCTCACCCCCTTCTTCCCTGCACAGGCCCCAAGACAGTTATCTTTCTCTCTGGTTCTCCCATCACTTTTGTGACTGGGATCCACTCTCTCTTCTTCCTCTTCTGGGGAAGTAATGTCACCTTCGTCTCTTTCTTCCCTTAGGTCCCCGGAGTGGTTCCCTTCACCCCCCAGAATCAGACTCACTGGCCATCCAAACCTCCCTGTCAGCCCCAATTTCCATCTGGACATTGTTGGGTAAGTTGCAGGGTCAGAGCTTGCACTTTGGCCCGTTGATTGATCTCCTTCCCTCACCTGCTCTCTCCTCTTCTTCTCTTCTCTGCTTTCTCTCTTTTTCCGCCTCTCTCAGGATGCTCCCTCTGCCTTTCTCTTTGTTCTTTTACCATGCCACTTTTTTTTCTGCCTTGAACTCTGGTGGCTACGTTTGCTGTGGCAACCTTTGATCTGCCACATCCCCAGCCGACTCCTCCAATCATCCTGATCGCAGCAGGGTTTGCTGCGGCTGCTCCTGCTCTATGAGTAAAGTTTTTTTCTCTTTCATTCCTTCTTGATTCTGTCTGTGGCAGGGTGTCACATATATGTATTACAAATTACAGTATACAAAGAAATACTATAAAATTTTAAAGTGAAATAACAATTAGAGGCTACATTTTGAAGTGTAGGTGTTTTGTAACCAAGAATCATCTCCTTTGATGCTTGAGGCTTGTATTTGCATGACAGAAAACAGAAACATTTTGTTTAATAAACCAAGAAATAAAAAACAAACAGATGTTAGGTTTTCTAGGAAACATGCATATAAACATAATGCTAAGCATTTCTTAAAATTCAGTAAATTTTCAGGCAGATTTTTAATCTAATAATTTTGCAATAATTTTATTAATAACCATTTTCCATCAATGTCTTGAAGACTTAATGTGTACATCCCCTACACAAAGACCCTACACTCTAAGTTTAATTAATTTAGTTACATACTCTTTAATCAAGTTATGTTACCTGTCATTATTTGTGAACTTCCCACTTTGCTATTGCTTGCACTGAGTAATGCCTGGGACCTGTCTATGGCAAAGTAATCCTCACAACATGTTTCTTAACAAATAGAGCTCAAATCAACAAGAGGCTGAGTGCCCACATTCCAGTGTACATTACAATCAAGGAGTTGTGTTTTGCACTTCATTTGAGTGTATCTTCTTCCCAGGAGCAAGTCCTTATTATGTTCTAAAGCTGCCACCATGGTTTGTACCTGTTTCCCAAATTGACACTGGTCTCACTTGTTTCTTTGGTCTCCTATGACTGACTTAATTGTATATTACTGATTGTAATGACATTAAAAAATTACCAGCTCAGGACTTTACTAGAAGTCTAGTGCTTAATTTCATTCTCTGTCTGATGACTTTCCTTTTCCAGGTTCTAGCCTTAAACAATAGGAACACAGGAAACAGGAAAACATGCCTAAGAATGGTGCTTTTCCTTTCTAACAGGAGAGATTGGAATCACTTTTAAATTCTTGTTTAAATATATCATAGGTTCTTAGCTAACCCCAAATTAAGTGATGTTTGTGAAGTAAATATATGACCAACATAGGATTATGATATCCTATGGCCTGAGCTAGCAAGCTACTTGCCTTCACTCTCAGAAGCACTCTTGTTAATGAAATGGGATACTATGAAATTGGAGCTGGGAAAAAACTGAGGAAAAATACAACAGATTTGGGCTTGGAAGTTGTTTCCATTTCACAGGGTTAAGAAAAAGGCCCAGTTTCCCCAAACATGGGAGGCAGGTTGTTTTGGGGGGTTTTTTAGCCTTTCCTGGAAATGTTTTCCCATAGAAATCACAGTTGTTGGTAAACAAGTATTTTGGCAACCATTTTGAGAATGGCTGAAAAAGGTTAAAAAGTCACAACATTGTGAAAAGCTTCATTTTTTAAAGGAATGTTATATGTTGAATGAAACCTCCAATTTTGGGGAGTTGTCTTAAATCATCTCTTATAGGTATAACTGGAATCTAGCTCTTATATTTTAAAGAGGAGACCCAAATATAGTTAGGTAAATATACTGTTATTAAGCAAAAAAGCTCTGGTACTTCCCTCTTATATCCCCTTTCATAACTGACCTCTGAATCCATATGCTATATTTACTTGAATCTAAGTTGATCCTAAATTTAAGATATCCCCCCACCCCCCAGTATATATATTCATATATGTACACACTATCTTCAACAAGCTGCTATTTAGGTAAATGTTATTTCTTTCTCACAATTGAAGTTATTATGGTAGCCAATAGCTTGTAAAGGCTGGTAACTACAAAGTTACTCTCATAATCTACAAACTGGTATAGATCCAGGGTGTCAAACATACAGCCCACATTGGTCCAGATCTGGCCTGAGGGACTTGACCAGTTCAACTCCCCTGGTATAGATCAAGGCAAGGCATTGGCTGGGACTGGCCTGTAAAGTCTGGCCACAGATGAGTCCCATTCATACTCCTTGAGGCAGGGAATATGTCTCCCTCTGTTCATAAAGCGCTGTGTAAACCATGGTACTAATTTATGCAAATGATTTTTATTATCACAAATAATAAATTATAATGATGTACCTAATGGAAGGACCAAATGCAAATTCTAATACTAGGTCCATCATCCCAGAGATATAAAAACTAGTCAACACGTTGGTATGTGTATTCCCAAATCTGAATTTAACAGCAGGATAATTTTATGCTCAAATCACTATGATTTTTATTAATATTCATTTAACCAGAGCCTTTAGAAAGTGATAGCCATAATAATCCAACTTTATTTATGATTTTTTAGATTATATAGCACAGTTGAATTTCTCTCACTAAACAAGTAGTAGAAAAACTACCTTACTGTTTTCAAAGACGTAAATGTTCCATTACAAATGACTCAAACTCTGGACATAGTGATGCAGCCTTTGTTCCCTTTTTTCTGCTGCACTAGACTCAGAGACTACACATTAAAAGCTAAATTAAATTCTATAGATGACAAGGGTCTCTATAGAGCTGTTTTCCTGCTGTTAGGAGAGCCTGTCATAGAGGGACTGTAACCATGATAAGATGCCAGCCCTATTCATCAGGTAACATTTCACAATGTCCTCATTTATACTATTTCTCATTAATATTGGACAGCTTTAATTTATCTTTTTTCTTCAAACAATATGATATTTACAAGCTTGAAGCCTTCTTTTATAGTTGTGTATAAATCTTTATAAATGTCAGTCATTAATTTTAAAATCTCATTCATCAATATATGACTAGTGAATTAGTTAAGGTTTGAAGAATAAATGTCTGGTAATTAGGAGTGATTTTGCATCAGGCTTTTAGACCAGGTGAAGGATGAAGGAGAACAGAGTGAAAATCAGGCTCTTGCTGAATTAGGATTTAAGTTCTAAAGCATGGGGACAAAATACAAAATTCTATGTTAAAATCAAAAGCAGATACCAACAGTAGAACCTCTGCTTGAAGGAAACAGCAGTAAGCTATTAGAATTGAGCAACACTGAAGAGCCATGAAGAAATGTAGGTGACATGGTAAGAAGCTAGATGAAGGAAAACAAGCAGACCAGACAATAATGCGCGTGCGTGCGTGCGTGTGGAAAGCTAACCCTAGAGAATCTTACATATATTTAGAAATCCATGTCTCTGTGAAGTTGATTATTTTAACAATGTCCTGCATACAGAAGGAAGATAACTGGAGAGTTGACTGATACTCCAGAATCATTATGTCAATGATAATACTGGAATCCAATACTCTTAGCTATGGGTGGATTTAAAATTTTGAAAAGGAAGGTGCAGATGGTGTGTTTTATCATATAACAAGGCATATATTAGAAGCTTTACTAATATGCTAGACCCTAGAAGATGTAGTAAAATGCTGGAGGCCTAGGGCTATATTATTCAGTTTAAGATTGAAGCAAAAATAAGTATATCTTTATTGGAATGTGCATTAATTTGCTATATTGTATATTATATTTAAGAAAAAAAACAAGCTAGGCAAAAAATACATTGTTTCATTAGTCCTCTAATCATTAGAACTAAATGTACATAAAACAAAATCTAGCCTACTTGAGCATCTTGAAAGTTAATCCAATACTTCACTGAAAGTTATTTCCACACCTGGGTTAATGTTTCCACACCTGAGTTAATGTTTTTAGCTAAAGTTGAAAATAGTCTTCAGGGTTGTAAAACAGGAGCTGCATTACCAGCAGCAGCTAGAAGACAGTAGAATTGCAGAAGAAAGGATAGCTTGATTAGTGGAATATTAAGGCCATTCAAAAGGATAGTGGGGTTGTTAACACCTGTGGAATGAAGAGTTTAGACGGAATTTGGTCAATTATAATGAGCCATGAAGTCAGTTGACTCCCCCACTGCTGCCTGACTAGAAATGCTACTGCTACTGCCAGGCAGTCGTTTTTAAACTTTGGGTGGAGTAGGAATAAAAAAAAAGGACAGGGGGAGAAATGTAACTACACCCTCCCCTATATCCACTCTTGCTCCTAGCACTGACATACCCACAGCTTCACAAATTCCCCCCACCCCCAAACATACAATGTACCTGCATCATTCTGAAGTGTTTCTGTGCATTTGAGATTTTAGCTGTGCAATTAAAATCATGATTGAGATTAATTTTTAATTGCGCAATTAAGCACGATTAATTTTTTTTAATAATTTTAATAATTTGACAGCCCTACTTTTGTGCATGGGGCAGAGGCAGGCTGCTTGCTACGGGCTAGGCTCTGTGCCTTGCTGGCTTTACCCTGGGACCCACACGGCACAGCTCCCAGAGCAAAGGCGGCAGGGTGCAGAGTCCCAGCCTGCAGTGGGCAGCCTGCCTCTGGCCCATGTACAAATCCGACAGGCACATGCCCTCCCATACCTCCCCCAAGGGTATGTGCAGCAGCAGGGACTGTGCCCCCCCCTGCACCCCTGGACAAGTCTCACCTGTGGCTCCATCCCATGACCCACCTCATTGTAACTGCCCCACCCCAGCCTCTGCCCCACTCCCTCCCTCACTGTGGGGGGGGCCTCAATTTGGCCCCCTTTTCCCTCTCACTCTACCTCTTCCCTTTCACAGACCCCTGTGGGCCTCCGCAGACTTACCAGTTGGGTGCCGCCCTACATGCCACCAGGCTGCGTTCCTGGCTGGATGCATGCTGCGGCTGCTCGTGTGTCTGTCTCTGTGTCAGTGTCTCTCTCTGTGTCTCCGCGTGCCCCCTCCCTACCCTTCTTGCTCCAGCATTTTGGAGCTTGCGCTGCCCTGTGGTTCCTCTGCACTGACACTGCTGCCCTGCTGGGCAGCCTGAAGGCAGCAGTGTTGGCAGCGGAATGAAGCATGGGTGCGGGCACCAAAGCCACATGCACAATTAACACATTAAAAAAATTAACACAAGAAGCAATTTAAGCGTTAATCATGCAAGTTAGTGGTGATTAATTGACAGCCCTATTCAAAAGATATAATTTTAACAAATAATAGATTAAAAAAAAAAATCATATATTAAAAATCAAATATCTACTATATTTGATTTCAAAAAAATTGTTTTTGTCCTGATTTATGTTTTGAGTAGTGTATTATACAGGCAATTTTGTCAAACAATTGTCGAACAAGTAGTTTGTTGAACAATTGTACAACAGCTCAAAGTCTTACTCT